GAATTGCGACTCGTTCGGGATCCTTACTCTGGATATACTCCATGGCCATCTCCGCCTCCCTCTTCCACGGGTCCTCCCCCACTAGCCCCATTGCACGGCCACAACCCATCTCTACCAAATGTCAACCAAACCACAGGAGCGGGCCTCATGACACCTTCCCCATCTACGGTAGTCGAGCATGCTCCTCCAGGATCGCCACGAGATCACAGTACGCCTTCATCCGCGACAACTGCAAACGTCTATGCCTCTCCATACGCATATCAGCCTACCGCGCCGATTGGTTCTACTACAATGCCGCCAGAACCAGCCCCTACCGCCCAGACAGCTCTGGAAAATAATACTCACCCAGATCACACTAATGCGCATGCACCGTCTTCACAGTACATCGATCCTGCTCTCCGTGATCAATCAGCAAACCCAATACCAGCACCACAAGCGATTCTCTCGAGGACGAGAGAGACAAAGATCCTGCTCTCTATCGACGGCGACGGAATTCGGGGACTGTCTGCTCTCCTTCTAGTCGAATCGCTGGTGAATGCGATATGTATCAAAGTTGGACAGCGCCTCGACAGCCATCAGATCTTTGATTTGACGGGTGGCAGTTCTCTTGGTGGAATAATAGCCATCATGCTATGTCGGCTTCGCATGCAAGCTCACCGGGCTAGAGAAGCATATAAGCAAATTGCCAAACAAGTGTTCGAGAACAAGAGAGCTTACTTCAGATATCTTGACCCTCATGCACAGCTGAAAGATGTTGACGACAAAGCACTGGAGCAAGAGATCAAAAACGTGATTCAGAAAGAGTTAGGCACTTCAGACGAAGCACTCCTAGATGGACGGCCAGACTCCGGCGATGTGTAAGCAAAATATAATCACGAGCTGGACAAACATTCTGACCTGGTACAGTTTCGCAATCACGACACAGATGGATATCGGTACGTACAGGTTGGGACGAAATAATGAGGTTGCTTTCACTAACCTATAGAAGGCACCAACAAAGCTGCTCTGATACGATCATATCAAACACGGCGCATAACTGGACCGGACTTGGAACCAAACATGCCCATATGGCAAGCGATGAAAGCAACTTCTGCAGCCCCACGATACGTGCAATCCGAGCCCGGCGTCCCGCAACGCTTCGTGATTGAAAAAGGCCTTGTCGACCATGGGACTACAAAGAACAATCCGATTCGCGATATTCTATACGAGTGTAGAAAGCTTTTCCGATACGCCAACGACATGATGATCATCGTCTCAGTCGGAACCGGCGCCGGTCTCGATCGGAAAAATGAAATCCCTGAGATGGCAAACAGCGTGGAGGATAGGAAGGCCGAAGCAAGGACTTGGGGCGAGAAATTTGAGGCCGAACATGCGGCACTAATGGAGCGGAACTGGATGAAGTACTTTCGGTTCGATGTGACAGGACTGGAAGATGTGCCACTGGAGGAGTGGAGTCACGAGGATCTAATCAAAGAAAAGACATCGGCGTACCTGGCCCAGCCAGAGGTTGGACAGAGATTTTATGCGTGTGTCGACGCGATAACGGCGTTACTGCTGAGCCCGCAGGGAAGGTAGCAATGCACGACGATGAAATGTATAGTCCAGCTGTCCAAGGGCAAATAAGCCGTTAGCCATAATAATAATTTCGGTTCATTCTGCCACAGTGTGCATGCTGGACTGACCACAACGCCAATGTCGTGGCTTGCCACTACCCTGTTGAGCTCCGGCGTCGTGTGCGTTTCATCAGGTCCCCGCAGTATACCGCGGACCTGGCACGGTGTGATGTCGCGTCGACCTTCAGTTCTCCTATACTACCTCTTGCAACTTGTGACATCATATATTCGACGTCAAGCAGCGCGCCAGGCACACTGCAATACAAGCGAAGTGTGAAAGAAGATCCGAGCTCCTGGTCAGCACCGTATAGCAGCAGCATACGGAACGCCTATGACGCCATGCCTCATCCTTCCTCTTGGCCCAACATGCGCACCGACCAAACATGGGAAACGTGTCGCACATCCCGTTTCCCATCATCGGTCGATGCACCTTGTATACCCCGCGATCAGTTGATTGTTCTTGGCTGTGTAAGAAGACAAGCCCTTGGCTTTGAGTAACAAGCCTCACATTGGAGGAGAAAGCTTACCGCAGAGAGAGCCAGCCGCCTCTTGACATCAGAGGCAGGGTGGAATAGGTAGGTAACCTAATGTCGCATGGGAAAGAGCAAGAGACGGGTGAATGTAGGCTTTGCGGGTGAGAAAGTGTTATGTATATCTCCTTTCCTCTCTTCGTATTGTGCATCTCATACACTTCTTTTTCCTTCCTACTGCGTGCCTTCAAGCTTCAAAATGGCTACTGTAGAAGCAGGCAAGGCGACTGCTGTGCCTGACACAGAGCGTGACCCTGACTATGGTCAAGGCAAAGAGATGGATCAAGAGAAGACGGACCGAATTATCAAAGACGACAAGGTCGAGCTTCAAGACAGTGATGCTTGGGACAAGCTTGGATACTCTTTTCCAACTTGGCGCAAATGGTGAGTTGAGCTTGTATTTCTTATCCGAGTGCCGCTTTGCCGTGACATACGAGTACTGTGGCGGGACATCTTAGGAGCCTACCATAACCCAGCGTCCATGTTTGGTCACTTCTTCCAGGTCTCGATAGTTGGAGTCTGACACTAATGGTAATTATATTGTAGGCAGATCCTCATCGTAGTCTTCTTCATCCAAATCAGTATCAACACGAATGCTTCCATGTACTCGCATGCCGTTAGCGCTGTATCTGAACATCATGGCGTCAGCGAGCAAGCAGCCCGCGTCCCACAGGCAGCTTTCTTGATCGCCTACGGTATTGGATGCGAACTTTGGGCTCCTTGGTCAGAAGAGTATGGCAGATGGCCCATCCAACAACTCAGCTTGTTCCTTGTCAACCTCTGGCAGATTCCATGCGCCTTATCGAAGAACTATGCTACATATGTGGTTTGTCGAACACTTGGAGGTCTATCGACCGCCGGTGGCTCAGTCACACTTGGCGTACTGGCCGATATGTGGGAGCCAGATGAGCAAGAGTTTGCGGTTGCATTCCTAGTTCTATCGTCCGTTGGCGGATCTGTCGTCGGTGCAATCATTGGAGCCTTCGTAGAAGAGTGAGTCCATCACTACCAACACTTATAGACAAGCACCAACTCAGCCATTCAGATATAAATCGGTCGAGTGGATATTCTGGGTTCAGCTCATCATCGGAGGCTTCGTACAGGCTGTCCACTTTCTCTGCAACCCCGAAACTCGCTCGACGATCCTGCTGGACCGTGAGGCAAAGAGGCGACGTAAGACGGGTGAAGATGCGAATATTTATGGTCCAAATGAGATCCGAGGCGGTCACAAGATGAGCTTCAAGGAGGTCGGCACTATCTTCTGGAGGTATGTAGAGGATCCAAGACACGGATGCCCTAGTGCTAACGAAAACGTAGACCATTCTACATGTTCTTCACCGAACCAATCGTCTTATGGCTATCTCTCCTCAGCGGTTTTAGTGATGCCTTGATATTCACATTCCTGGAGTCTTTTGGGCCAGTCTACGAACAGTGGGGCTTTGGTACTGTCGGCGCTGGCCTTGCCTTTATACCCATTTTGCTCAGCTACTTCCTGGCTTACGCTTCGTACATGCCATCGATAATCAAATTCCGAAAGAAGCGCCGGGTAAACCCAGATTCTGTTGCACCCGAAGCCCGACTTTGGTGGTTGTTGTTCCTTGCACCATTGGAAACTTTGGGCTTGTTTGGGTTCGCCTGGACGTCACTCGGACCGGATTATGGCATTCCTTGGATTGCGCCTATGATCTTCTCGGCGATGGTCGGCATGGCAAATGTAAGACCTGAGATTTATCATGGCTGTGAGTTTACTAACAGTCTTTAGTATGCAATCTATCAATCTTCAATCGACTACCAGACCGCTGCATATGGCCCATACGCTTCCTCGGCAACTGGTGGTAACGATCTTGCTCGTGACGCTCTCGCTGGTATCGCTTCACTTTACTCCACACCTTTATACAAGAACATTCCGGGGCGACCCTTGCAATATGCTTCGACGATCCTCGCCTGCCTTGCTTTCGTGGTCACGATACCAATTTATATCGTGTATTGGAAAGGTCCGGAGATTAGAGCCAAATCGAAGTTTGCGCAAAGTCTCGACCAAAGCAGGCATCAAAGAGACGAGAAGAGGAGGAAGAGTAGCCTTGCAGGCATCGAAGGACCGTTGGGTGAGAAAGAGAAAAAGGTTCATCGAGAAACTGTGTAGGAATAGGCACCTATGGGATGTTGTATGATTATGAAGCAATTGCCTAGGCTGGCACCTTTGATGTATAGCGTGTGCGAGTAATGTCTTATGATAGTACATGCCAATGGTGCCATTACGTCTTCTGAATGGGTAGCGTATAGCTCGGGCGCATGAACGGTTGGTCAAAGTCCCAAACGGTCATAAGAACACGAAGTCGACAGGTGGAATGCGGCGTTTACGATGACCAGGGTTGCTTTGGTGTTTGACTATTCGATGGCTCGCAAGTTAAGTGGCTGTCGTCCGGCAGGCTCAGATTGCAGATGTGTGTCCTCGTATGCGGTGCGATGATGTTGTTTCTCCGAGCTCAAATGACACCGTCGCGTGCCCACTCCACCCTTGGGGTTCGCAACACCATCATCGTCTGGTGCCCGTTTCCCCAGTCGTTTGCTATGGCCTTGGTATGCCGTCTGGGGGTAACAGGGCCGATTTCGAGCAGTCGGCTGACTTACCTTTTGGGGGTCTTGCCTGACAAGTCTAGTGTTCACGCAGCCGAGGTCACGCGCGTGGAGCCATGGTGCTTTAGTCAGGCACACCGTCCCTTCCCCAGACGGACGTGCTTAAGATGAATGACGCCGCCGGCATTTGGCTGCGCCCCGCAATGCCACGACATTCCTCCAGGACGTACACAAGAGGCGTTACCTGACATACATCGTGTTGTCTCATCCACACAGAGCCATGACGAAAGCGCGCTATGACTTCAAGACGCGCCCGGTCGCGCACCCGGACGCCATTGTCGCGGGCGACAAGTACCGCTTTACCATCCTCACCGACGGTCTGCTGCGCTTCGAGTGGGCCGAAGATGGGCGATTCGAAGACCGCGCAAGCACCTTCGCCATCAACCGCAAACTAGCCGTGCCTGACTTCTACGTCTGGGATCGTGGCCACGGCATCGAGATCGTAACCAAGCGCTTCCACGTTGTATACGACAAGAAGAAGTTCAGTGCCGACGGTTTCAAGATCCATCTCAAGGGCAACGTGACGGGCACATGGACATACGGGCAGCCACTCTCCAATCTGGGCGGCACAAACCGTACGCTCGACGGTGTAAATGGCAGGACCAACCTAGGCCCTGGTGTGCTGTCCAGAGAGGGCATGGCCCTTTTGGACGACACCAAATCCATGCTCTTCGAAGATAACGGGTGGATTGCAGGACGCACGAGTGGCGATAGGACAGACCAATACATCTTCATGTATGGCCGCGACTATCGGGAAGCCATACGCGCCTTCTACGCTGTGTCAGGAAGCCAGCCTCTCCTGCCACGATACGCCATGGGCAACTGGTGGAGTCGATACCACGCCTACGACGAGAAGGAATACCTTGACTTGCACGATCACTTCGACAAAGACGACGTGCCCATGAACGTGGCGGTTGTGGATATGGACTGGCATCTGGTATGGGATTTGCCTGGTGGCGTCAATGGCTGGACTGGGTACACATGGAACAAGAAGCTCTTCCCCGATCCCGATGCTTTCATGAAGAAGCTGCACGATCGTGGCATGAAATTGACGCTCAATCTACATCCAGCAGACGGCTTCCGACCGCACGAGGAACAATACCCCGAAGTTGCCAAATACCTTGGCATCGACCCACAGTCTAAGCAGACGATTCCTTTCGACTGCACAGACAAAAAGTTTATGGACGCATACTTCGACATCGTACACCACGAGCATGAAGAGCGAGGTGTAGATTTCTGGTGGGTGGACTGGCAACAAGGCAACACATCCAAGATCCCCGGAGTCGACCCTCTCTGGGTGCTCAACCACTTTCACTTCCTTGATAGTGGTCGTGGTTCTCAGCGCCCTCTGATTCTCTCCCGATTTGGTGGCCCAGGAGCCCAGCGCTACCAGATCGGCTTTTCCGGTGATGCTATCATTACGTGGGACAGTCTGCACTTTCAGCCTGAGTTTACAGCAACTGCGTCGAACATTGGGTATGGTTGGTGGAGCAACGACATTGGTGGCCATACACACGGCTACAAGAATGACGAACTCTACACACGATGGGTACAACTAGGTTGCTGGTCCCCCATTTTGCGCCTACATTCAGACAACAATCCTTTCAACCCCCGCGAGCCTTGGCGCTTCAACGAAGAGGCACGCGTCATCGTAGAAGACACCCTACGTTTCCGCCACCGCCTCATCCCATACCTGTACACGATGAACGCGAGGAGTGCGTCTGACGATGAACCACTTGTTCAACCCATGTACTGGGACCACCCCGAGGCTGACGAGGCTTACAACGTACCCAATCAGTTCCGCTTTGGCTCTGAGATGATTGTTGCCCCCATTACCCAGCCACGCGACCAGACTACGCATCTTGGTGCAGAGAAGCTCTGGCTCCCAGAAGGCCGTTACGTCGACATCTTTACTGGCATTGTATACAATCGTGCCGGCGAACTCACCGTCCACCGTCCCCTAAACTTCGTTCCCGTGCTCGCAAAAGAAGGGTCCATAATCCCTCTCGACGCAGCCTACCGACCCAAATCCGGCTCTCCCAACCCAGAAGGTCTGGAAATCCTCCTTGCTGTAGGCGCAGACGGGTCCTTCACGCTCATCGAAGACGATGGCACAGGGCATCTTGTTGACGACGGCGGCTTTTCAATCATCGACGACGAAGGCCAAGAATCAGCCGATGATACTGTGCGCTTCGCACATACACCCATTACCTACAAGCAATCTACTGGCGTCATCAACATTGGCCCCACCACACCTGAAAACCACGCCATTCCCAAGAGCCGGTCTTGGAAGATCCGTTTACTGGCTCATACACCCAAGAAGGGTACAGAGATACGCTGCGTCACAACCTCCCCTACTACCAAGAAGCATGCAAAGGTCCTTTCGCACAAGGTTACTCAGGAAAGTAATGGTACGCTCATCACGCTGGATGCTGTACCCACTTCGCATACTATCCATATTGAACTCATGTCTTCTTCATCTCGTTCCTCAGCTTCTTCGTCAGGTCCGCAACTTGATGTTATCGATCCGAATCCCAAGCTCTGGGACATCATTGACAAGGCGTGGATTGAGATGGATAAGAAGTGGGATTACTGGAATTGCGTCAATAACGGAGAGCCGGTTTTGAACAAGGTCAGAGCGCTGCAAGGGAGAGGTATGCACAGAGGGTTGCTGGATGCGATGTTGGAGTTGTTGCTGGCGGACGGGAGGTATGCTGGAGAAGAGACGGATGAGTGGTGAAGTTGGTAGTGCGCTCTTGTAGATCTAACGTGCCCGATGTTTAGAAGAAATGGACAAGTAATCCCTCCTTTGAAAGAAGGTTCTGTCTCAATACATATGTTTGTACATTGCTGCATCAATTCAAGCCCTCTAATGCATCCCACGTAACATCATGCAAGCCAACTGTCCTATGGCCTCATCTCCACCTTGTCCTTGTGGGATTTCATCGCCTCCTTGAACCCATCCCTCTGCAAAATCTCGGCCACCTTATCCATGACCTTGCCCTCTCTCCTCCTACTGTAGTCACCTTCCTTGAGCTCATACCCAGCCCTTGTTGCGTCCTCCAAACTCTCATACTCCCAGATATTCGCCTTCATACCTACACCGTGATACTGGTGTTTCTGCAAAAACGCCAACCACGCCTTGATGACATCTGGATGCCCGTCTTGAATCTGGATAAGTCGGCGCATGGTGATACGCTCAAAGTTCTCTTGCGACTTCTTGAAGATGAAGTTGGAGCGGGGCACAGTCCAGCGCTCAGTTATCCTTGGGAGAGGAACGGGACCCCGCGCGCAGAGGCCCATGTAGTATGCTGCGCGAACGGCGAAGTCGGCGAAGAGGAGAAGGTTGCGGACGTTGTAGGTGCGCAGTTGGAGGTCACAAGTTGGTACGCCGTATTCGGGGGTGCGGCGTAAGGGGCGGAGATGTACGGCACGGACGTTTATGGGTGCTCGGAGGGCTTCGAGGGCTTCTGCGGTTTTGGGATCGAGGGGTGGTTCGTCGGTGGGGAGGGTGATGTTGTTTTCCCTGGAGCCATTGTTAACGAACTGCGGGTTTGGAACTGGAGTTTGGGAAGGGAGACTGACTTTGCCAGCTTGATAGGTTCTAAACCAGCGCGTTTGTACATCTTTAGCAGACCCAAGTGATCAGGTGTGTTTTGTAGTTCTTTCCACCGCCGTTGTGCGTCTTCGCGCGTCTTGGGCTCCCAATCTTCTTGGTCTTGATTGACTTTTTGCTGGCTTGCGTACAGGCTGTCGAATCGTTAGCAGCCTCTTACTTTGCTACTCCAGTGGGTTCGGCATGTCGTACGTCTTGAATTCTTGCGGATTGATCCCAGCATCCTCTAACCGCTGATCAAGTGGCATAGCACTGTTCTCCAGATCCATCTTCAATTGATCCATAAGCTTGACATCCTTGTCTTCTCGCGAATCCCTCTCGTTGTCTTCTTCTGCTCTTCCGCTCTTCGCTCGCGAGAAAGTCTGTGTGCATGGTCGGGGGGCGTGGGCAATCTGTGCAGCGCATTAGCAATCAAGAACCCCTCTTGTAGCAGCGTAATTGCAATAAAAGTACCTTCGCCCTCTTCGCCGGCCCCAGGAAGGAGCGCATACATCGTGGCGCGGCCATTCTTGATATCGTCGCACTCACTACGTCCAACATCGAACTTCTTCCAGAGGGCCGATGGCGCTAGTCACGATTCCGCTTACTGTCTTGGCAACATCGGAATTGGCCGCCGCCTTCCCTCTGTACCCTAGTCGTACCGTCCGAAAATGTCACATGTACGAGGCAGACTATTTCTTTAGATATCGGATTGTACTTCTAACCTTCTTTACTTTTACTCTGTTTCAGCAAACACCACAGCGTTCAAGATGGAGACCGTTTCAGACATGGCAGCTGCACCCAACGCCTATGCCCGCGCTACGGAAACGGCCAAATACGTACGCTCACAATTGCCAGAAGCACTGCAATACCCCAAGGTAGCCATCGTGTGTGGCTCTGGATTAGGTGGACTTGCCGAGACGATTGAACCAGAGCCCAAGGTCGAATTGGCTTATGGAACGATTCCCAACTTTCCAAAGAGTACCGGTGAGTACTGGACACTGAAACATGCTATCGCCGAGGACGTGATTCTTCGCATGGCACAAGCTGCGGGGTACTGATATCTTTGCTTAGTTGTAGGACATGCTGGAAAGTTTGTGTTTGGGCAGATTGGACCCCAGAAGACGCCTGTCGCGCTTCTTGTTGGACGAGCACAGTGAGTCACCAAAACATCGAGAGACTTTGTTTCGAAACAATGATATTGATATGTTCAGTTTCTATGAAGGACATTCGATGGACCTGGTCACATTCGCCACGCGAGTGTGCAAACTGCTCGGTGTCGAAACCATGATCGGTATGATGAGTTGCCAATCAATGAACGTAATCGACTAGCTAACCAGAAGGGAAGTCACAAACGCAGCTGGTGGTCTTAACCAGACTTATCGCGTAGGAGATATTGTTTGCTTGAACGACGTACGTACCATTCTAACGACGTTGAGCCTACTCTGACTGTGCTTAGCATCTCAACATGGCTGGACTTGTCGGCATTCATCCTCTGCGTGGCCCTAACATCGAGGAGTTTGGCGTTCGTTTCCCACCTCTATCAGATGCCTATGACCTCGACCTGAGGGTGCGGACGCACAAGGCCTGGGCAAAACTAGGGCTGGATAAGCAGCAACGAAAGCTACATGAGGGTGTTTACGCATTTGTAGCAGGACCAACGTATGTCATTCATGTCCTTCTCCTCCCCTCTACTTCGCTATGGGTATCAGACAGCTGCTGACTGTCATCAAGTTATGAGACTCGGGCAGAATGCCGAATGCTCAGTACGCTGGGGGCTGACGTTGTGGGTATGTCAACTGTACCCGAGATCATCGTCGCCAGACACGCTGGAATGCGCATTCTGGCATTCAGTCTAGTAACAAACGTTGCTGTTCTCGAGGCAGGCGCCCGCGGAAACGATGCAGCAATTCAGTCCATGAACAGGGCGGAACTGACTGAGCATCTAAGTCAAGGCAAGGCAAACCACGAGGAGGTGCTGGAGGCCGGACGAGAGGCAGCCAAGGACATGCAGGCTTTGGTCAAGCAGATATTGTCCGATCTCCACAGTCAGTAGCAAGAGTAACAGACGTCAGCGTGTGTTTCCCTGTAAGCAACGCGGGTCGGCATAGCACCAGGAAGGTGAACCCGATATCCAGAATAGAATATAGCATCCATCCAGTTGGCCAGAGCACGAACCAATCTGGCATCTATTGAGCCAGACTGTGGCCAGGCAGATCTCAAGGCTTGACGACCTTGCCTTTGTTTCGCTTTGCCTTCAACGCCTTGTAGTGGGCCTTCTTGCCACTCGCTTTGGCTGTCTGGATATCCTCGTACTTCCGCTTGAAACGGCCAGTGTCCTGTTCCTGGGCGATAACCTCCTCCAACATGGTCTGCTTGCGGTCCTTGTTCTTCAAGCGGCTGCTGTAGAACTCAGTGGCGCCTTCGATTATGGTACCGACTTGTGAGAATGCTGGAACGTCGCCCTTCTTGTTGTCCTTCTTGTAGTGGCGCTTCGGGTCAAGGACGTTCCTCATCTTGAGAAGCTGTAGGTCTCGGCGCAGTTCTGGGGTGAGGTCGGTCTTGGGCATGTTGAACCATTGTGATCCAGCGGTGGCCTTCTTCTCCTAGGCAAAGTTGTTAGCATGGTTGCCGACAGGATGCCAAATAAAACTTGAATGAAGTAATGCCTCAGTGTAACTATGAACTAATGGAGCCTCAGTGGTGCAGGAAGGCAACCAAGACGGCGCCCGAGTCTGCTCAGCTTAAAAAATTTGGGATAGATATCATCACAGGCATGCGTATGCATGGAGTGTGGCTTGAACGTACCTCTTGCTTCTGCTTCTTGATCTGGAGCGGATCCTCAATCTTCTTGATGCCGTTAGCCAAAGCCTGCTGCTTCTTGTCGACGAGCTTGGAATGATCTAGGCGCGTGATGTTGCCGTCAGTCTTTTCGTAAGTATCGGCAATATGACCGGGCTGCAGCTTCGGCAGCCTGAACGGAGCATCCGACTTGCTCACGGGCGGCGCTGTGGCTGCCTTTGCGCGCATACGGACAGCGGCTTCATTAAGCAGCTCCCGTATTTGCTCATCCGAGAGATCCTCATCGGTATCTTCGGCGAGGAGCGGCTGGTGCGTTGGCAACTCCATGTTGGCGTTGACAGGGAAAAGCTGTGGGAAAATTCGAGGTCGAACTTTTTGTCCCAAGAAGCTCGGACGCACGCTAACCGTTTTGATTCCGTTGCGCTCAGAACCAGATGCCGTTCGCGCAGACTCTCGCACGGTCATGCGCACTCGATGGCATTGGGGTTGCAACATGTCCACCTCTGCTGGTATGCTAGTGCCAACTTGCTCCGATGGTTCGCATCCGCCACGTCAAGCCCACTCGATGAATCTCTCCAAGTCAGCTTCATTTCTGTGCCGTCAGCGTTTGACATATTGGCTTATGACGCGCGCTCGCATACTCTGACGCGGTCGAGAGAATCGAACGACGAACAACTCATCGCTGGCATGGCCTGGTGTCTACAAGGCCAATCAAAAAGCGCCGTCCTGGCCAATCGCGTGCTCATGCCGCATGCTCGTCCAGCTGGGGCGGGACCAAGTTCGTCGCTCTAGCGTGGTGCCTCATGTGAAGTGTGCTGCCCTGGTAGCCTGTGCCGCCTAGGCATGGGTTATGATGCGCTCGAGTCTTGCGCCGCATGGAGATTGAATTGTGACGGGGGCGGCAGGAACATTGCATCGCTACTGTGCTGTCACCTTGTCGGGCCTTGTAAAGAGATGTGGTGCGACGTGCATATTGCGCATATAAGCATGGCTGGAATGGCGATCGCAGCATCTTCTTCTCTGGAAGAGGCTCTAGCATGAGAGATGCTACGTCAGAACATCGAGCTAAGCTTGCATCTGCCATATACTGCAGCTCCCCTTCGCCAGCATTTCTACTTAATTCTCCGCGTACCTGAGTAACGTTGGGGTCCCTGCTTAGCTGTGGTTCGTTGACTCGTTAGAAACCCACCAACCAAGCATCAACTCCGCGAATATATCCTCGCGCTGGAATTTGATTCGCCGGACCGGAGCATAGGTCAGTCGCGCCCTTGGTTCAACCTCATGAGAGTTGGTGCAATGGGATATAGAGTAATGCTCATCCAACATGGCAGGCCGCACGCAGC